TTTTTTTTTTTTTTTTTCAACTTTCAGGCCTGAAGCTTCTAGTACGTAGTTCTTGGAATCCTTGGTTTCTTGGATTGTCCCAAATACATACAGCAAAGTTATTTCAAAACCAAGTTTTGTATTCCTACATGTATTTGGTTCTAAGATGAATACTATATTCAGTTATACCTTCGTAAAATAAATTTTATCTGTAAGGTGGGATTAGGCCTGATAGGCCATCACAAGACTTGCAATCCCGAATTTTAAGAACCAAGAAGTATATGAGACAAGAAACAACTAAGACACTTTAGGAACGAGGTAGATATCCTTGATGTGTATATTTTTACATTTATGTGTCTGCCATGTGCAAACCCTCGAATGAATAGACTACATATATATTGGGTAGGGGAGGTAGGCTGAATCTTGTAATGAGCATAAATTGTCATGTGCTATAATAACTCAGACACCTTTGAGGAAAAATAAGATTTAATCACAAATTTCAATGCACCCTGCTAAGACATTGCCCTCCTGCAGGACCCTAGGACAAAACAGAACAAATCTGAACACCTAGGTGTGACGCAGGCCCGGCACAATTTTTAGCGACTTTCTGCTGTGTGTTGTCCTGAAGGCAGTTTTCCTGGCTTTTAGCAGTCACAGAATTGGATCATAGTAATAACATGCTAAAAAAAAAAAAAAAAAAAAAAAAAAAAAAAAAAAAAAAGAATAAATTGCTCAGAAAACAGAGGTCCAGTCATTAATACGGGCTGAGTAAGTTCTGTATTTCACTAAACCTTGTATGGGAAATCAGTCGGAAGGAAGTAAGTTGATTCATATGTAGTTTTGAGACTGTTAAGGGTGAATTGTACATATATCACGAGCTGAAAGTTTTGCTTAGCCTTGTGCTTTTGAAGTTCATTGATGGTTCGTATGAAAGGGTGGTTGTTGGTAATGGTTTTCTTGCCCTGTCATTTCAGTGTTTACTTTCTTTAGATTGTTCTTTTGAAAAGGTCATGATTTTGCTCTCGTTGAGATTTAAAATATAGAAACTGGGATTTGCCAGTGGAATTAAGCCCATAAAAACTGGCTACAATAGTCCATACTTTCGGATCATAAGCCTTTAGTGGGTTTACAATTACAGTTAAAGCCTTACGTGTATTAGATCATGGGAATCCCGTTAGTGACTTCTCAAGGGTTTTGCAAATACCACACTTTCAAAGCATTTTTGTTGTTTTTAACAGTTATGTTCAAGATCAAAAATCTTAGACTGGATAAACTTAATCTTTTTTTATTAATTAAAAAACTGGCAATAAGTTGCTGGCATTCATCATACAACTATATATGTAAATATACATTTGCTGGATAAAGATAATTATTTAGTACTTTTCATAGAACTGATGTATAAAAAGTTCAAATCAAGTGAAAGGCACAAATTGGAATTAAAATTACTGAACTTTCTCATCGTTTGGTTTGCTGTTCTTAAGATTTAAATAACTACCAGAAGTGAACCTTGCCTGGTAAAATAATGAAGTAAGAATAAAAAAAGTTACCACCCTGCACAATAAGTATATAAAATTGGGGTGGAACAAAAGCCACAGCATTTAAAAAGCCTCTACATAATTAAGTAGTCCTTGTTGTTTAGATTTAGTAATCCAGATGCCAATTTATGGTACTGAATCTCCTCAGGCAGAGGAACATGTATTCAAGTAAACTGAGAAATGGAAACATTTTTCATCAGGCAGATCATCACCTGACAGTCATTTATTATTAGACACTCTAACCTTGATGGAATACTCACCTCCAAAAAAATTGTTGTTTGTTTTAACAGGCCCTTTCTTATTACAAATGCAGTAATTTTAGGCTTAGGAGGCTGTCTCTAAATTTACTGAAGTTTCCCAAGAGATGTTCTACATCACAAAATAGGCAGGGAGGACTGGAATCCTATCCTTTGAGGCCAAGCTAAAGGAACATTTGTCATTAAATTTAAAATAAAATTAAAAAAAAAGAAAAAACCAACTAAGCCCAAAGAGAGCCTCCATTTGAAAAAAAAAAAAAAAGTTTGTTATTCAGACCATCTATGAGGGGTGAAATATGTTTGGAATTTATTTAGTGTGTAACGTGTTTTGTTTGTTTTGTTTTGTTTTGTTTAAATCTGGTAACAGCAATCCCCAATTAGAATGGGAATATACTGCCGTTTAGAAATCCGTTAACATTCTCTCATACGTGTTAGAACATTGACAGATTAAAAACCAAAACTGAGGTGCAGTTGAGGATGTCATAAATACTATTAACTCTTGAGTACATTATTTCACCTTTTTGGTTGTGATTAACGTTTCTTGGGGGGAAGAGTAGCTTGGAGAAATCTGGTTCCTCAGGCTGGAATCCATTGCAAAGATACTGGCAGAGTCGTTTTTGAAGGCTCTCTCTTTCAGTTTGACCTTTAGAAACAGGCGGTTTCTAAATTTGAGGATTGTTTGGAAACGATGAATAGCCTGCTTCACAAAAACAAGGATACAATTTATCCTACCGGGTTTTCATGGGGATGCCGAGAAACCAACCTACTGTGCTAATTACTTAGAGTTTTATTATAATTACTTATACTTATAACCTAGAATTGCCCTAGACTTGCACATGCACATTTTGGGGGAAAGGTGAATTGTAGATATTTGGGACATTTTCAGCCTGTGACCAGCACAGGGCTTTTTAAAATAATCCACCAAAACCTATAGGCTAATTCCTTTCTCCTTCTCCGGTGGAATGGTTCTGTTGGATTTCCCGGTGACCTTCGGTGGCCAGTCGTGTCGAGCTGACTGTTGCGGTTACAGAGCTGGAAGGGATCGCAGAGGTCACAGTTAGAATCTAATCTCCCCAGTTAGAATGTAGTTTTTTTTTGTGAAGTGCTGGGGTCACATCAGTGCTTAGACACTTTCAGTCCACACTGGGCACTGCTGCCCTTCTCGTTAGGGGACTCAGAAATCGAGAAGACTTTTCCAATTTGGTTACACACCCGGGATAAATCCGTGTACTCACACCCAAGGGACAGTCAACCAGCCAATTAAAAGGGGCATTTGGGGAAGGGTGTTTATCTTAAGAGATGGCATTGAGAACATTTTATCCTTTGGTGGGTCCAAGAGAAACAAGTTCTTTCGGGTGGTGTCCTTGGGTTCATTTTGATCACAAAGATTGGGTGTCATCCCAGTGAAAAATGAAATGAGGTGGGGACATGTGTAATGACTTCTTTGGGAGTTGGACAGCCAGCTATTGCTTTGTGGAGTTGGCTCCCGTGATTCCCCAAATCTCAGCTTGGTCTGTTAGTCTAAGACCAAAACCCACAGGATCTTGGGAACCTGAGCATTGAGGACTGAAATGTTAATGGAAAAATGTAAACTGGGGTTTGGGAGAATGATCATTATCACCAAGTATTTGCATTTCTGCCAGAGGCAAATAGGCTTTTATTAGCAATTACTTATAACTGCTTCTCCTGTTCCCATTCTAAGGGTAAATAAAATGAGGGGTGCACAGGATATAGGACTCATCCAGGGTCAGAATATATTTGGAGCTGCGCTCTTCTGGGATCCTCAGCTGTTGTCTCATTTACTCCTTAAATTTTGTAACTCCTTTGTTAAACAGGGAGGCTCAGGGGACCCTTCGGAGTCAGTTTGAACTAGTGAATAGAGTTTATTAGCAGCTTCTTCTCCGGTTCTGATTTTCCTAATAACCCATGGGAGAATGTATAGTTCACATGTTAAAATGCCTCTCCAAATGTCTACAGTCTTTTGTATCATTTAATTTAATAATTTCATTCTACAGCTATTTATACTTGCTTGGTGATGGCACTGTTATTGAGTCCTTGTGTTTAAGTTTATTGTAAACCTTGACTCACAGTTGGGATACTTTAAACATTCCTCTAAACTACCTGTAGACCCACTACTGAGCCCTTCTTTGTTCTTCTCTAGAACATATGATGGGCAGTTTGGAATTGGGATAGGGGAACATTATGACAATTTAATATTTTTGCTTACCATGTAGAATTTTGTCTTTGAACTCCACCTAAAGGGTGTTATCAGCAACCGAACTATCATATTAATCCCGTGAAATACAACCAAAATGAAATGGTGTAGACGGTAACTCCTTAATGAAGCCAGTCTGCTCAAGTTCTTGTTGGTTGTACCTCTCTCGATTAAAACTGCATTGGGTACCGTGGACTGCATAAAGTTGCTAGTTTTATTTAACCTACCTAGGGAATCTAAGTGAAAAGATTGTTAGCTTGAATGTATCTATCCCAAGAATCTATAGGAAAGCAGTAAGGATTATAAAAGCTTGTTTAAATTGTAAGGAGAGATTAAAATGAAAAAAAAAAAAAAGAAAAGGGAAGGAGTAGGGAAAAAGTAAAAGAGCGGGTTTCCCTAGAACTCCTGACGCTTCTCCATTCAGCATTGCACGAAGCCCCTGTCCTTCAGCATGACCTCCCCCCCACCCCCCAGCAGAACTCATGGGGCTTCTGAGATACCTGTCGGTGCATGGATAGTAAATGGCTAAAGTTGATTTTGCTTCCATACGTGCCGGACCCCTTAAAACGAGCCACCCGGAGTCTGGGCCCTGCCCAGCATTCAGCATTCACTGAGGGGAGACTGAAAAAATGTTAAGCCAAAAGCATTTTTAGGTGTCATTTGCATGTTGTTTTGCAGTCTGGGAGGAACAGAGATGAAAAGCTTAGGTAGGCCATGCGATCTGAGTCTCCCTCATCTGTACTAATCCTGTGAACTTTGGTGGGTGTCCCAGAACCTGCCCCGCCAGCGTGCGGGCTGCGTGAATCCAGCTCCAAATTGAAGTTAACCCAGGGCCTGTGGCCGAACCCGCTGATGAACTTTTCAGTGGAATGTGGGACCAGAGGATTGGAACAGAGGGGCTGTAGGGATTGGGTTGAGATGTACAGATTTAAACCTCCTTTGACATCGTTCTTTGGGGAATGCTGGTTTACACCACGGCTCATGGAGCTGGTGCTTTTCAGTGTGACACCAGAGATGAACCCCACGTTCACAACTGGATCAGCCTCTTCACCGAGGGCTGCCCAGAGCCTACGGGTGTTCCGAACTGTCAGGAACCACGCCTGTAAGTGGCCCACTTCCCTCGGAAGCAGCATGACAAAGTGGGAAAAAGAGAGGGACTGTGGCTATTCGGGTGAAGGCCCTTGATGCATGTGACAAGCCCTTCTCGGCTGCCTCTCTGGTGCCTGTCTCTGCGTTAGCTGCCTGTGAGATTGGAGTGGTTATTTCTTCCTCTACAGCACGGTTGACGGGATTAAAATTGACATCAGAATGTATTAATAATGGGGTTCAATTCAGAACCTTGTATAAACTTGGTGATATTAACAAAACAAACGGTTCCAGAATGAGAAGTGTTTGTTTGTTTGTTTGTTTTTAACCAGAAAACCTTTGCAAACTCTCAGGATTTAATTTATGTTTATTGCAGCTTAATAGCAGTTAGAAAAAAAAAGTCTTGTGAAAATGAATGCTCTAAATAAAAACACAGTTAATTTTCCATTACAGTGTCTAATTACTCATCATCACCAGGGCATTTTTATATGGCAATTTAACTTCTCGAAAGTGGAAACTTGGCATACGTTTAAGGAAGAAAGCAGTGCTCCTAGATGGGTATCAGAAGATGGTCTAATTATGTTTGGGCTAGAGTTGACTCTTACACATGACTGCCCTGGAGGAGATGCGGGGGGGTGGGGGCGGGGGGGGGTAGAGGGCCTCACTTTAGTCGCAAAAGAAAGTCTCTGGTTTCTTTAGTGCCAGTTGAAACTGAATACGGAGGGAGATAATTCTGAACGTTAGATGATGTGCAAGTACATCTGAAAAGGGACCCTGCCAGTCACCAGCTGAAGCTGATGTCAGGACTACTTGATAGGCCTGGAGAACAGCTATATATGCTTTCTGACTCCACTGGCAGAGTTCATAAAGATGAACATGGCCTTTCTCCAAGGAAAGGTCAAGATACGACTGAATAGAAGCCAATCTGGGAGGATCTTACCATGAAACTAAATACATTAAGAGTTCAAGCAGACAGGCTTACGTGATTCCTTTTTACTGCATCCTTCTAGCTTACCAACACGTCCTTAGCAGCATGTTCCTCTCGATATTGGGGATAGATAAACATTTTCACAATGTGCATTGAAAAGGATTGCCTGCTACCTCGGCGATGTCAGTGTCACTATTTAAAAAAAAAAACAACAAAACCCCTTAGGTGCGATCAGTGATATGATGATGGTCCTTTGGCTTTTCTTATTCAAGGATCGCTTATGAAGTGTGGGAAAATGGAATGGTCTTGGGCTTGGTGCAGTCTCATGAAGTCATGGCTGTATTTCCACCCCAGGAATACCTGGCGAGTTCCTGATACTGATGAACCTGCCAGCCTCCACCACCCACTTCCCTCTCCTCAGAGTTCTTTTCATTCTGTAACATAACCTTTGTTGAAATTCAGGATTATGGTCATTTCACAGACTGGAGCACAGCCGCTTGTAGACTGAAGGAAGTTCAAGGTAGATGTTTAGTTTAAGCAATATTTATAGGAAGCGACTTTGTACATTTAACTCATGGTAACTTACAAAGAACAGAGTCCTTGTTTTATCTCTTCTGTGGTGGGGAAATAGCTTGGGCACAGAGAGTTGCCCAGGCTTCTCTTCCTGAATCCTGCTTTATTTATCCCAAAGGCAGCTATAAACTTGAGATATGTTAGAAATACACTGAACCTTCTTATTCACATTCATAACAGTCATAGAAAGAGTGACTGGTTTTTTTGAGTGCCTAACGTGTAATAAGCATGGGACTGAGTGCTCTATGATCAGCTTCAGATCATCTCTAAGAGGTAGGTGTTACTATTGCCACTTTACCAATGGAAAGCCGAGAAGTAATTTTCCCAAAGTCACAGGACACAGAAAGATCTCTTACAAAGCAATGAGAAAAAGGGCAGGTAGAAAAATTCGCCGTTCATAGAAATGAGTATCCAGATGGTGAAGATGAAAGGATGTTCTGCCTCACTGTTAATCAGGAGAACACACATTAAAATGAGATACCATTTCACACCCATCAGATAGGTGGAAATCAAAGAATCTGACTCTATTGATCGATGACAGCGATAGACATTCTCATACACTGGTGGTGGTGGGAATGTTTTTTCGGTACGATTCCTTCGGAGAGCAGTGTAGCAATACCCGTAAAGCTACAGATATACATGTACCTTCCAGCCCCCGCTCCCCCTCTGGGCTGATGCCTTGTATGTGTGCAGAGGGACACCTGTTTAAGACTGGTCATTTTTGTGTTGTTTGTGATAGTGACAAATCTAAAGCAAACTGCCCTTCAGAAGGAAAAAGGATAAAAGTACATGTGCTCCCTTTAAGCAGTGAAATTCTATACAACGAAAATGAATGGACCAGATCTATTTGTATGAATATGGATAAGTTTTAGAAATACAGTGTTGAGAAAAAAACAAATTGTAGATTGATACCTACAGCCTGATACCATTTATATGCTGCTTGAAAACATGCAGACTGATACATATTGTTGAGGGAGGCAAAGGTATGGGATTAGGAAGGCGACCCACAGGTTTTTATTGTCCTATGTCATAGTTTATTAAGGAAAAGAAAAGGCCTAATGTAAAATATGGCCAAACATCGAGATTTAACAAAGCTTGGTTGTGGGTATACAGATGTTCATTACATTATTCTTTTCTGTGTGTTTGAAATTTTTCGTAATATAAACATTGAAAAATGATAGTATGGGAGACCCTAGATGTCCATGAAACTCTTAATCTTGTGGACCTTTTGATGGCTTTCTTAATAGCTTTTCTGCCCTGAAACAGGGGAAGCTTTTAAATGCAGACCTTGTTGTACGCAATCTCACAGTGGGGAAATAAAAACACTTTATAATTAGATACATGTGTACAACTCTCACTAAAACAACCACTGTAGCTTCTGTAATTGGCTTTTGGATCTCACTTAACCTCCCCTGGCTGGATGGGGGCACTATTATCACCAGGATAGCTGCCGTTTCCCCAAGTAATACTTTGGCATATGAGTAAGCGCTCTCTGAGCTGGGCACTCGGACTAGGAGGTGATTGCTCCAAGAAGTGTTTGTTTTAAATATACATCCATAATCGTGCAAGCAAGAGTCATTAGGTTTTTTTTTTTTCTCTTCTTAGTGATGTTTAAAATCACAATAACTTTTTTTTTTTTTTGCATCTTGCATTTGTATGTATTTGCTGATATGATATACCACCCTTGGCTTTTGAGCAAGGTTTGTCCATTGCTAGTGACAATTTAACTTTAAAAAAATTGTCTGGAGATAGCGGTGAATACCAAAGAATCTAAATTAAAATGTAGCTTATTAGAGGGAAGAATGATGTTGGTATTGCCATATGAAATGACCGAGTGCTCCTTATATTTTGGAGCTGTGATTTTATTTTTTATTTTTATTTTTTAAAGTTTATTTATTTATTTGGACAGAGAGAGAGAGAGAGCAAGTGAGCATGGGGAGGGGCAGATAAAGAGGGGAGACAGAGAATCCTAAGCAGACCCTGCACTGTCAGCACAGAGCCCAATGTGAGGCTCGAACCCATGCACCATGAGATCATGACCTGAGCCGAAATCAAAAGCTGGACGCCCAGCCAACTGAACCACCCAAGCACCCTGGACCCATGATTTGATTTTAAAACTTTGATATGTGGTATCAAGGCTTGTTAAGAAGGGATGAGAACTGTTACCATGGAAATCACATAGATAGCTGTGTGTTAGGAATAATAAATGGCCATCCTGTGGTTTGGAGAAGTTAACCTAGACCATATTACTCTACAGTGACAACTGTGGTGGCAGGTGCTTTGCTCAGCCTGTCTTAACATCCAAGACCTTTTTTCTTTTCTCTGCAAAATAGTTCCAATTTAGAAATACTGCTGTTAAGATATTTGACAAAAATGTGGCCTTTGGGGGCTTTATCTCTCTGCATCCCTCAAAGGGAAAATATTCTTCAGTGCGGCCCAAACAGGAGTTGGCCAATGCGTTTCCCCTTCTTAGACCACCCCTCTCTGCCTCAGTACAGCTGACTCTTGAACAACACGGGTTTGAACTGCACAGGTCCGCTTGCACATGGATTTTTTTTTAATATATAAATACAGTACAGCCCTGTGGATGTATTTTTTCTTATGATCTTCTTAATAACATTTTCCTTCCCCCAGCTTCCTTGATTGTAGGAATACAGTACATAATACACATAACATGTAAGATATGTGTTAACTGCTTAGGTTGTGGGTAAGGCTATTAGTAATTAAGTTTTGGGGAGAATCAGAAGTTAGATGGTGATTTTCAGGCACACTGCAAACTCTTTCTTGTCCAAGAGTCAACTGTACATACAGAGAAGCAAAGAAATCTAAGTACTGTAGGGCCCACATCCCACCCGGACGATCTGTAGACAGTGCCACAGGGCTTTCTTTGGTGCTCAGCAGTGCAGCCACGGTCAGCAGCAGGAATTAATGACCACATCTAGAGGATTATGGCCAAATTGGACATGACTGAAGGGACGGTGGATCTGTCAGATTTGTTGTCCATGAACAGACTTCCACGAGTTGCAGGAACAAGTTCTGCAATTTATCTTAACCTATGTAGGCACTTGCAGTGGTCAGAGTAGATCAGACGGGCTGAAATTTTCACCGTGTCTTACTCAGTCAACCTTCTGGATCTTTTCAGTGAAATCTTACTCCTCGTAAAATGGACCAGCTGGGCTGGAGGCAGTGAATGGAGAAAACATTATCAAGAAAAAGTTCCAGAGAGCTGCCGCAGGATGCTCTAAGTAGGATAAAATGCAGAAGGACCTGTTCTTGCCACCCGTGGAAGTCTATTTGTTGGCAACAAATCCAACAGGTCCACCTTGGATCTTCTGTTTGGAACTCCTTGGGAAAAGACAGGCAAGGATTTAGAATATTTACGGTTACTTTTCAGCAAGTTTCACTGAGAGAGAGAGGTAGGAATCCTCCCAGTTCCAATCCAGCTTCCTTTTCTTCTCATGACTGAACATTTTACTGAAATAATTGGTAAGTCGCCCCAGAGGACATTGTTTTGG